CAGTCAATCTCCCTCCTCTTACACGTAAACAAGAGGGGACTGGCTTCCCTGCTAATGGTGTCTGCCCAGCTAGAGCTAGTACAGAAAACTAGATTACTGACCTCTGACCTTAAGCTCTGTCTCAGGGTACAAAGTCACACAAGCTCAGGTCAAGGGCATTGTGTGTGAACTTGCCTAAACCCATCCCTGTGTGTGGCACACCTACTCTGATGACGTTCCTTTGTGGACATCATTATGTGTCTTAGTATCTTCTCTTCTGCATTAAGTATCTCAGGACTCTTTCCCCTCATCCAGAGCCCCATTTCAATTCCTGTCTTTTCCCTGGTTGATCTTTGAGTGGATTTGTCAAGGTCAGCTTCTCTGAGTGCCGTGTTTATGTGATACTCCAATGCCAAGGGTGCGGCCCAGGTGCTGTGCTGATCTTCCATCAAACTGACCGTCTGTTTCTGATCACAGGCCAGGAGAAAGGCTAGCAAGGGTGTTGTGTCCTGTGTCTAAGCAGCAGTAGATAGAGGTCCACGTGTAGCTGAGCCGCTGCTAGAGCATCCTGGACCCCTAGGATCCCAGATCATGTGTTCAATGCTGTAACTGCAAACAGTAATTCAGAGACATCTGCCATCCCCCGTGCTTCTGAATTGTATCGCTATGTTTTCTTTCATTGTTTTTAATTTCAAGACATGAGGCAAAAAAGATTATTTTCCACACACAGTTAAATAAGACCTTGGAAAATCCTGCTTATGAAGTTGACAAATATTTGGAAACAGAGCAGATTTTCTTGGTGGATCCCATTCCAACTTAGTCTGTCCTTAATGGAGGAAAATCGTCTTCAGATTCAGGGGTCCAGCTTCCTGCCAGCCACACAGTTAGATTCACCAAAACCCCAATAGCCTCACGGGCTCTAATGGGAATTCCCAATTGGACAACCAGCAAACAGAGCTCTTCTGGGGGCTCAGGCACACCTGCCTGCTGTGTTCAGTTATTGCTTGCTTGGCCTATGTGTCATTTCTGCAAGCTCTGCGAAGGACAGGGAAATGATCAGCATTCTTCCTGCTGTGTGGAGGCAGCAGAGGCATCTGCCAGGACTGGAGAGGGAGCTTGGAGGATTCAGAGTGTTAATGAAGACATCTTCCTGGGGACTTGCACTTAGGGCTGTAAATGTTTCTTCAGAGTAATTTCTAATGTTGATACCTCTCTCTCTCTCTCTCTCTCTCTCTCTCTCTCTCTCTCTCTCTCTCTCNATACCTCTCTCTCTCTCTCTCTCTCTCTCTCTCTCTCTCTCTCTCTCGCCAAAAAAAAAAAAAAAAAAAAACCAGCTATGTCAGGGTCACTTAGGAATTTTTAGTTCTCCAAGCATCTGAACCTGCAGCAACCTCTAAGAAAGACCGTTAATGGCTTGTTAGAAACACTTGTGTCGGTTGTTGGTTCTGGCATGGTGCAGTCCCTGAATGTTGGCATAGTTAAGGGTCACTGAGCTTCTCCTGGTTCAAGAGCTGGCCTCAGCAAGGCAAAGTCATCTGAGATGCAAACAGTCTGAGTTACAGCGGGGTTGTCTACAGCCTTGACTTCAGGGCAGTTACTTCCTGCTCAGCGCGGTGCACAGGTGCCTCCAGGATCACAGGAAGCATGGGAGCTAGGGCCGTGCTTGCTGTAACAGAGAGATCCTTAGAAACACAGACAGCGATAGCATTGGCCACCATCCTCCCCACCACCACCACTGAAACCATCTCTCGAGTTCCTGGACTTCCTGGGCCACCCACCTTCAACCAGCAGCAACCCAACTTCAAAGGGTTTCTTACCGAAACTCTCTCTCAATCTGTTACCCTTCACCGCTGGGGATCAGGACCACATCATGAAGAGGGTAAGGACCGTCAGAGAAAAGAGAAATGATGGTTGCAAGCAGACATTTAGAATACACCCCACAGTGTGCTGATCACATACACTTAATACCCATGAAAGCTCATGAAACGGATGCCTAGTGCGGTCCTGATTTCAGATGAGGAAATGGTTTCCAGGGATGGACATGCGTGAAGCTCTGGGGATGGATACAGCAGATACCTGAATGGCATTTAGCTCCCACACATGCTTCCCAACAGCAGATTCTGGGAAGGACAGAGAGGAGGCTTGTGAGGACTTCAGTTAGGATGGGACTGCACAGACAGCATGTCCCAGGGGTACGGACCACGACTCAAACAGTGGAGATGCTGGGAGAAGGGAGTAGTCAGGTCATGGGAACTGGAGCAGACAGCAGGCTGGGGGTCTGTCTTTGTCTTGGGGGACGACAGCAAGAGCACCTCATCCGATCTGCAGGCAGTCAGCATAAGTCGAATGTGGTGATTTCCCATTCACTGATGTAACAAAGCCAACACAATTCCATACACATTGTTTATCTTGAGCTTAAAAGGTATCAGAGAGTTGGGGATGTGAGTTTGATAATAAGGTGCTTGGCTAACGTCTGGGAAATCCTGGGTTCAGTCTCTAGTACCACATACACCAGGTGAGCTGTTGCACCTGTAATCGCAGCACTCAGGATGGGACACAGGAGGCTCCAAAGTTCAAGGTCATTGTGAGGCTATCTGGGAAGGTTAAGGCCATCCTGGGCTACATGAGACACTGTCTAAAAACAAACAGATAGACAGACAAAATGAATACAAGACATAAAGATAGCACAGAGCTGGGGACGTGGCTTGTTGGGGGAAAGCATGACTACTGTGTGTGATGCCCTACTGTGTGATGCTCTACTGTGTGTGATGCCCTACTGTGTGTGATGCCCTACTGTGTGATGCTCTACTGTATGTGATGTCCTACTGTGTGTGATGCTCTACTGTATGTGATGCCCTACTGTGTGTGATGCCCTACTGTGTGTGATGCCCTGGGTTATACCCCCAGCACTGCAAAATTAAAAATAAAAACAAAGATTCTACACATATTTTCAGTTTCTATTAGATTTAGTTTTTATAGTATCTGTGTAAACATATGTCACGTGTGCACAGACACGCAGGAAAGCACAAGAAGATTCTGGACCTTGGATTTTGCATCCGGTGATTGTAAAATGTCTGATGTGAGAGCTAGGAATCGAGCCCAGGTCCTTTGGAAGAGAAGTGGGTGCTCTTAACTGCTGAGCATCCCTTCAGCCCCTGCAGTTTCTTCTTCCTCCTCTTCTTCCCTCTTCTCCCCCTCTTCCTCCCCTCCTCCCTCTCCTCGGCCTCCCTCCTCTTCCTTCTTGGCAAGAAGTGACTCTGGGTTTAAACTGCTTTTCAGTTTCTTAGTTTCCACCTCGGTCTTTGTACTTGATTCAGCAAATCTTGTAGAGCAGACACATCAAGTTCAACGAAACCACATTTTACTTAAACATCAGTTAGCTCTTGTCTAACTGGAAGAAGATATAGCCCCGTGCAGCCGGCAAGTTTCTACATGTGTTATAGAGAAGTGCTGTACCACTCAGGACATAGCCGGCTCTATCAGGAGGCCGGCGACCCTTAGGAGATGTCCGTCTGCATCAGGGGACGAGACTAGCCTACATTTTCCTCCACTGTTTTCTTTACCAGGAGCCTTTGAAAGGAAAGCAGGATTAGCGTATTGAGGCAACTGCATTCTTGTGGGATGGAAATCCAATTCTCTGTAACTCACCAGGCTTACACGCACCCTCTACAAACGCAACTCCTGTAACAAGCATCCACACGATTCCCAAAGCATGTTAGCACTCTGAAGTTATAGTTTATTATCCATCACGATCTAGGCCTGATCCCTCCTTCACTGCAGCCCCTGTTGCTTCTGGGAGCAATGTCTAGGCACCAGTGTCTGCAGATTCCTCTGGAGCTGGCCCGCCATGCTGGACAGTGGCTGTCCCAGGCTATGTATGATGTTTTGCCTTATCTGCTTTCCATCTTCTGCTTGGCTCAGCCCTAACCCATTTTGCACCTTTTTGGGTCTCTCTGGCTAGTTATGTCCCCATTTTCACAATTCCCTCAACCATTCTATATACTTTCAAGGCAGGGCTGAGGTGCTTAAGAATTGGTTCTTGCCAGGTGGTGGTGGTACATGCCTTTAATCTCAGCACTCGGGAGGCAGAGGCAGGAGGATCTCCAAGAGTTCAAGGCCAGTATGGTCTACAGAGTGAGATCCATGACAGGCTCTAAATCTACAAAGAAACCTTGTCTTGAAAAACCATTAAAAAAAATTGGTTCTCAATCGCCTTAGAAGATGCAGCTCCTCCACCTGCCTTCTGCCTGCTTCCCGGGGTCGATGGGGTTTCTTGATCTCGGGGTGCTGAGCTGAGGGAACTAGCAGACCGGGTGTGCTTAAGGAAAGCATACGCGCTGTGAGTCTTTGGTGCGTCTTCCTGCAAACTCCAGGGCACAGGGATTCAGGATGGTTATGTCAATCATCGTGTCCCTGGTACCTTCTAGAACAGGGCCTGGAAGAGAGTTGGCACGAAATACAAATATGCTGAACAAAGGACTAGGGACATTGCTCGGTTATAGCAAAGGGCTTTGCCACATAAGCACCCTTGTTTATAAAAGGAAAAAGATGGTTGTGAGGGCACAGGCTTGCAATCCCAACCAGCAAGAATATGGGGGAAGGATCCCTGGGCAAGTCAGCCAGCTAGACCAGCCAAATCGGCACACTCTCAGCTTAAATGATATGTTTGTCTTGACATACAATGTAGAAAACAATCAAGGAATGCACATGACATTAACTCTAGCCTCCACATGCATGTGTTTATATGTGCATGTGCACTGGCACACACATACAAAACCACACACACACGTCCAGACAAATCACACACAGACAGACAGACCAAGCACATACATCTCACACACATATCCATATACACAGGCACACACACACATAGATACACAGACAAGTCACACATGCACTATACGCATACACCACAGATACACCGCACACATACATCCCCACATCCATGAGCAGGGGATCAGTAGCTCTCTTAATAAGTCTTAAGTGGCGTATTAACCTTAAACATATTGGGAATACAAATGTTGGGAAAATGTATTTTATTGGGAATATATATATAGGGAATAAACATATAGGAATATATACATACATATGCAAAATATAAATATGTTGGAAAATATATCCTTTTGTACAAGTACAAGGTCACTGACTGCCACGTGCTACAGAATACAGGGGACAAGTTCAAAGCAGTCTCCATGGGAACATGGGGTTCTCTAGCTTCTCCTCACCCCTTGGTGTTCCCTGGGCCCCGAGGGATGGAGCTGGGATTTCAGTCTAAGAAGATGGCTGCCTCCCCTGCGCTGCCTTACAGTGCCCATGTGAAACCTATCTCACGTTTGGATGGGACCAAAGTTTCTCCTTTCTTCCTTCTCCACGGCAACAGGAGAAGAAAACCATGCCAGACCCAACAGTTCACCCGATGGGTCAGCCATTACACCGGAGACACAGAGTGACAACTGGGTTGCTGAGGAGCCCATAAGCAGCAGGTCACCTAGCCGCAGAGCAGGATGGGTCTTCTCGATTGCTGTCCTGATAGGCTTTACTTTGCTCTGGATTCTTCTCATGGAGAGGGGGTAGCTGCTGGGAAGAACGGCTCTAGGGTGGGGCTAAGGCATGGTTTCCACACTTAGTACCCTTCCGTTGGATTTTCATTTTAACATGTACATATCTTGATTCTTAGACGATGAAGATGGTGTAATGCATTTTTGGTACGGGAAGAAAGGTTTCAACATTTTATTAGTTGAAGGAAAATACAGAGAACGGTCTGGGTATGAAGTCACCAGACTGCGGGGCTCGACATTCTTCCAGTAGTACGCACCGCTCTGCCACGTTAGAACACACGCTGGGAGCGGGGCTGGCAGCACAGATGGTGCTTTCATGTTATTTTAGTAACAGTAATACCTATGATTAAAGGGAGCGTGGAATGTGAGAAGTACCCAGAACAAAGGAAGCCCCGCTGCACGTCTGCATCTGCAGCCAGGTCCTATTAACGTTTTATTGGATCATCTAGTAATACTGTGATTTGGGGGGCGGGCTGCTGGGCTCGGTACTAGAGACTGAACCGGACTCACACATGCCTGGCAAGCACTCTACCACGGAATTACCTCCCAGCCCTTTTTTCTACTTTCTAGTCTGAGGCAGATGCTCACCATCCTCCTGTTTCGTTGTGACCACAAGCCTGCTGGAGCAGGCTGGGCAATAGAGCATGTAACCTTCTGGGTCACCTCTCCTCACTCGGTCACACATCAGGAACGTGTTTCAAACACGTCACCACAGTCTGAATCGTGCTGGTCTCATTAATCCAGTGGTTGAATCCCTATAGTGGACTTTACCTGTCCTCATCGGAAGCAACCTGTTTTTCCTTTCTCCCCGTTACTGTAGCGGGTTTTGAGTGGGGGTGGCTGGTGTCTGTCTAACGCATTTGGTACACTTCAGCAAAGCTGAGATAAGAGTTACCCACTAGCTTTGGGGGAGAGGGGTACTGTCAGATGGCCCAGTGGGTTTAAGTACTTGCAGACAAGCCTGACAGCTGAAGTTCTAATCCCAGGACCTGTGTACTGGAAGGAGGAAACTGACTCCCAGAGGTTGTCTTTTGATTTTCACATGCCTGCTCTGGTGGATGCACACCCTGCCCCCCCCCCCAAACAAGAGCAGCCAAACAAAAATACTAGGGGCTGGAGAAAAAATGCACGAACTAATGTGCTTGTCTCGCACTCAGATAAAAAGGCCAGGCGCAGTGGGGCATGCAAAACTCTCAGCTCTGGGGAGTTGGAGACAGGTAGACACAAGAGGGTCCCTGGTCCTCACGGGCCAGCCACACTAGCCTAACTGGTGGGCTCCAGGCCAAGGAGAGACCCTGCCTCAAATGAGGTGGACACATTCCTGGAACTAACACCGAGTTGCCCTCTGAACTTGTACACATGTGCACCCCTGTGCACCCTCATTCTCGTGCACCTGCTCACACATAAGCAAAAGTAGAGTTTTGGAATAGAATAGCAGCTGTCATGTAGAAGCAGTGACTGTAAGTTGGCTGTGTTTTTCAAGAAAACACTGGTGTGAATGTACTCAGATTTCTGGGCAGACTCGCAGTGGGTTTTGTGGTTTGTTTGTTTGTTTGGATGGATGGATGGATGGATGGATGGATGGATGGAATCTTAGATGCACCATAGCTGAATCACAAACAGACTCATAGGCTTGCTCTAGGCATGCTGTCCCTAGGCAATGTCAGCTCTGAGCCACGGCCTGTGGTGCAGCGCCCAAGGTGGGCCTGCTCCCTTTTCCTACCTGCTTTGGGTAATTTATTTTAATTGGCCATTACAGAGAAAGCACAAGCTCACCTTAACTTAGTTCTTTAGTTACCAGTGAGGTCAAATGGCTTGTGTGTGATACAAATATTGCGTCTTTAGTGCCTCTTTTGAGAATTCTTATTTTTCTTTTTTCCCCCTCAGTTGTATTTGTACTCTTTAAACATTTCTAATATTTTCACATCACCAAAAAGTCAGTGTTTTTATAGTTATGTTGAAATTTTTAACCATTAGCTGGAGTGTTTTGGGTGTTTGGGTTGGTGAACTTCATTTTCCTAACTAGTGTATTCTGCAAGGGTCTCTACTACCATGTAGCATGCAGTAGATATGACAAGGTGGGCCCTAAGGGTTTTCAATCCAACTCTAAACACCATGTCACACAGTGGGGTTTAGTCAGTCATCAGAACTGATGTCATAAAAAATAAAATAAATTCCTTTGAGTCTACACTTAACTGAATCAATAGGACAATATTTTTTTTCACTTGGAAACTACTTTTTCAGGTTCTTCAACTCATGAAGGTCAACAAAGAAGTTCCAGGTCCCAGACTTGCAAGTGAGGAAAAAAAACGTTGCTTCTCAAACATAATGTACCATTTAAAAGATTCCAGCACTGATGGCCTCAGGGGCGTAAGGGTGCTTGCTGTCAAGCCTGAAGACACTCCAATCCATGGGTTCACGTGGCATAAGGAGAGGAAGGTCTCCTACAAGTTGTCCTCTGACCTCCACACAAATACATCATCCATATGAATAAATGTAATACAATTTATGAAAAATGTCAACACTGATTGTAGCATTAAAAGATATCTAATTTCTCAGTGACAGGATTAAATTTTATGGGAGGTGACCTGATTGCGGCGAATGATCAGGTCCATCAGTTACGGAGCACAGTATTTTCTTGTGACTGCGGAACTCCGCAGGCAGTCAGGGAACCCTCTTGCTAGTTAAAGGGATGAAATACGCAAGTACGCTTTAGGAACAGCATGTGCACACTTAGGTATCTGATGCATGCATTATTTCTCAAACATTAAGAACCCAGCGCAATATAAGTGCAATAAGTCTGCAAAAGAAGAAATTCATGTGGAAGACAATGACCTCTAAATATCTGAGCCTCACCATCTTAAGATTGTGCTAGCAATTGCTAGTCAGGGCCACCACACCTGGTTAGTTACTGTGTTTTAGAGGGCAGAGTACACACTAAATTGTCAGGGAGAATCAGCATCCTTAGATAAGTTAGTGTCCTGCCTCCTTGCTCCAGTGGGTCATCCGAGCCCTCACAACACACACACACACACACACACACACACACACACGCACGCACGCACGCACGCATGCACGCATGCATGCAAGCATGCACATATGCATGCACGCACGCACACACACATGCAAGCAAGCACACATGCACACACACACACATGCATACACTCACGCACACACACACAGTTTGAAGTAACCCACTTAGAGATTCTGGCTCACTTAGCCATTGTCCTATGAGGCCCAAAACTGCAGCATGGCCACTGTCTAACTCCAGGATGTCATCGCTATGATGTCCTGCTCAAGGTATCCTAGAATGTGGCCAAGGTCAACTGGGCGGATAGTTTCACCCCTGTAAAATCTCATGCTTTGAACTGTCTTATAACCACAAATAAATTAGCTTCAATTAAGGTTAATGTCAAAGTCACATTTGTGCTTAGAATGCTCCAAATTGGCTTCAAGGTTTCATCTGTGGAAAAGTTCCAAATTGTTAATTCCCTGCTTTCTGGTACAACCCTGTCTTAACCCTGCGGTGTATTCTTGGAAAGTCTCCCCACCCCTACCACAGGGCATGGGACCCTTCCTTTAAATTCTAAAATTATCACGCAAAGACATTTAACTTTGTCCTTTTGCTCTTAGAATGGGGAGGGAACTCTAAACCTCATGATTTCAGATAACTGAAAATTTTTACAACCCAACAAAGGAAACTTTTGAGAAGCATCTAATTTGCCAAGCCCAGAGCTCTCCACAGCACAACCATCTAAAATGAAGCCTTCAAACCTGACAAAGAGTCAAGCAGCAGAGAAGCCACCGGTGTCAGGTGCATTGCTTGAGGTGGGTGGACTGTCACAGGCTTCCTTCTACAGGGAAGAGAAGCCTCGTTACAGCTCAGGCTCACCACAGCCACGCGGGCATGCTCAGAGGCCTGTTAGTGCCATGTGTACAACATGGGCCTGTATCTTTGTGGCAATAACAACCCCCAAGACAATCACTTTTCAAGGAGAAGAGTTGGGGGGAATTGCTTCTGTTGTTTGCTTAGTTTTCAGAGACAGGATCTTATGTAGCCCACAATGGTTTTGAACTCACTATGGGGTGAGGATGGCCTTGAACTCCTGATCCTTCTTCCTCCACCGGCTGAGAGCCGGGATCACAGATGTGGGTCACCACATCTAACCAAGGAAAGGCTGTTTTGCTCCACGTTTCTATAGGTTCTGAGCCTTGATCAGGAGGCCCCTGTGCTATGGACCTGAGGTGATGCAGCAGGTCATGAAGGGAGAACATGGGAGGTAGTGTGTGTGTGTGGTGTGTGTGTGTGTGTGTGAGTGTATGTGTATGTGTGTGATGTGAGTGTGTGTGGTGTGTGTGTGCATGTGTGTGTGTGTGGAGTGTGTGTGGTGTGTGTATGTGTGTGTTGGGTGTGGCTAACTCACCGTGTTGGGAAGCAAATGAGAGAAAGAGAAAAAGGTGTGTGAAGAGCAACTATCCTGGGACACACTCCCAATGATGTAACTTCCATCCTCTAGGCTCCACCCCTCAAAGATTTCTTTACCTCCCGGTAGACCTAAGAACCAAGCCATTGACCCCGAGGCATTAGAGAGATATTTAAGATCCAGCTATGGCACCGGAGATGGGTTCGGCTATTTGAGTCTGTGTTGGCTACTTGCTCAGCCACATGGGCAGAAGGAATGAATGTTATGAGGGCCGAGTCTAGAACAGCGGTGGCTGCTTGAGATGGTGAGGGCCTTCTCTTTGTTGCTGGTCACTGCTCAGGAGGTAGAGGACAGTCATTTTATGTGTGTGTGTGGGTGTGTGTGTTTTAGAGTCATGGTCAGTTTTAATGCCAGTTTGACACAATCTACGATTATCTGGGAAGAGAATCTCAGTTGAGGAGTTGCCTAGATCAGACTGGCCTGTGGGTGCATGTGTAAGCATGTGTGTACGTGTATGCATGTGTGTGTTGTGTAGGTTTGTCTTGATTGTTAATTGGTATAGGACAGTGAAGCCCCTGGGCAGCACTATTCCTTAGGCAGGTAGCTGTTTAAGAACGCTAGCTAACTTCTTATTGTTGCCTAGGAAGAACCTGGGTTCAATTCCCAGCACCCACGTGGAGGCCTGTCACCTCCTTGGGCACCAGGTATAAATGTGGTACACAAATATACATGCAGGCAAAACATTCATACACATAAAATGGTAAAAATAAATCCAAAATAAAATCCAAAAAAGCTAGCTGGGTTTAAGCCAGCCTGTGAGCCAGCCAGCAAGGAGCATCCTCAGTGTTCCTGCCACACTTCATTGGCTCTGAAGAGTGACTTCCTTGGTCAGAGGTAAGGCACTGTGTAGCAACAAGCAGGCAGGCATGACTTCCCTCGATAATGGACTGTGACCTAGAATTACAGGTCATCGACTTTCTCCCCCACTGTTGATTTTGGTCAGAGTATCTGTCACAACAACAGAAATGCGCTGAGAACAACCAGCCACAAGGGAATCGGCTCCTTCTGTATCTACGGGCAGAGACGAGAGCAGAACAGACTGTACACACGAGCCATGACTTTGACCTAATGCGTTGCCAGGCAGCGGGCAGGGCGATTCATAATTAAAGACTTCACAGTAGCTGGACCAGGAAGAGTTGTGGCAAAATTTTGGGATCTATCTCATGGCCAAGGAGGTGGCGTGCCAACTTAAGAACAGTGGTTTGCTTGCATCTGTGCCAGGCTCATGCTGTGAACGTGACAGAGAGCTGTCGAGAGCACTGGTATCACAGTAAGTCAAGGCGATGGCGCCGGCTCACATAGACTCTCCCTGTGTTTCATTAATAGAGCCTCATTTCATCTTCGTTTGCTAACCATACACCTCATGTGAGACTTTATGGATTTTACCAATGTAGTAAAACTGTGTTAGGCAATACGGGTGACTCATCGTCTTTTGGGAGGGAGCCACGCAGGCAGCTCGCTCTGAAAACCATGCTGACTTATCTTTCACCCGAACACGGCTCTTCCCTCCTTGGTTCGACACTGGAATTCTTCTGCTTGTTGCACATGATACAGTGCTGAGTCCTTTGGAGAGCAGTTCCCGGATGAGGAGCAGGGTTCTTCAGCAGGGGCATGTCTCTGGTCAGCTCCATCTGTTAAGAAGTATGGACAGGGTGGTCTCTTCAACCCAGAGTATCTGGTGGACTCAAGAGGGCCAGGGCAGAGCGGTGGAGATGGCTCAGTCAGTAAAGTGCTTGCCTTGCAAGCCTGGGGACCTAAATTTAGTCCCGAAAACCTGTTTTGTGTTTTTAAGTGCTTGTAATCCCAGTACCAGTGAAGCAGAGCTGGATACATCCCTGGCCAGCCTAGCCTGCTTGATGGGCATCAAGGTTAAAATAAAAAGATGGGAGGTACCTAAGGAATGACACCCAAAGTTTTTGTTTTCCTGGCCTCAGCACACACACACGCACACACATGCACGCACAGTTGACTATAAGTACACCCCCATAAACATACACATCCATATACTCAAGAGGAACAAGTTGGATAAAAATAAAATCCATGAATCTAGGGGCCGAAGAGATAGTTCAGCACCTGGCTGCCGCTCCACAAGATCCAGATTCAACTCTCAGCACCCACATGGCAGGTCACAATCATCGAACCATGTAACTCTAGTCCCGGGGAGTATGACACCCTCTTCTGCCCTCCATGGACATTATATATGTGTGGTACACACACATACATGCAGGCAAAACACCCATACACACACAATAAAATAAATAAAATTTCAAGAGGTAATTGCTACCGATCCATTGAGTCTTAACATTCCATCCTGAACCAAGGAGGGTCTTTGAGGGCCCATTCTCCTTTGAGAAGCTATTGGCAGTTAACAGATGCTGGGGGAAGGGGAGGCATTTTCTTAGGGGCGCAGCCACTGGCAAATTGCTCTGCTCCAGTCAGTGACCCCTCTCCCCTCTGCATACCCACAACTCCAGTTAAACTCAGTAGGTCCCAAGAAAACAAAAACACAAAGGCATTAAAATAAGAGAGGGACTTGTTGGGAAGAAGGAATTGGGGGGCCATGGGGTAGGGAACGACGTGCGTTATATACATGTACCAAATCATCTAAGAATAATAAACATCAAAAAAGAAAAAAGGATGGTACCAGGATCCAAGAGTGATCTTCGGTGTTTGGTCTGGTTGCTAAAAGGCAAAGAGAAGTCTCCTACCCCATTGGCTCTCCATCTTAGCCACAGCCTTTCTGGGGACTTCCTCTCTCTCTAGTTTGCATCTTCCCATGCTGACTGTAGTAGGCAGGAAGTGAGCCATCCAGATCCTCCTCCAAGGATGAACCGATACCCAACTTACTTAGAAACTGCCTGCCACGTCTCAGAGGCTACCTGGCCTGAGGGCCACGGCCCTCCTGGGGAACTGGCACCTGGTGATCACGGGGCCAGCTGGGGGACACCGATGGGGCTTCCCACTAAGCTGGTGATCCCTGGGTCTACCCTCCAGGCCTGCCACTGCTCCCTCACAGGTGCCGGCCTCTAATCGAATGCCCCTCACCCCAGGCGGCATCTGCTCCTGGATGCCAACTTCAATGCTCCCTTGATCCTGAGACCCAGGGTGCTTTCCAGCTATCCATGCGTGAGAATGCGCCTGACAGGCTGCACAGCTCCGCTGCTCCCCAGCGTCGAGACCCCACTCTGCTGCCTCCGCTGTCACACTCACCAGACGACTCCAAACAGATCCCTTTGACACAGCAGAACAAGATGCAATTCTCAAACATCAACCTCTTGAGCATCGCTTTCACCCTGAAAGTTTCTGAGCCACCACCTCCCTTGCTCACCGTTCAGTGTGCTCACATCGGTGCTGAGTAGCCAATTCCTGCCACGACAAACATTCCCTTATGATGTGGGATTCCTCCCTGGATGCTGTGAATACTGCTGGCTAATCAAGTAACTGCCTTGGCCTGTTGATAGGGTAGAGCAGAGCTAGGTGGGGCGGGGGTGGGGTGGGGCAAACCGAATGCTGGGAGAAAGGAGTCAAAGAGAAGCCGTGTAGCCCCTCCGAGACAGATGCCTGAACTTTACCAAGTAAGCCACTGCCTTGTGGCGATACACAGATTAATAGAAATGGCTTAAATTAATATGTAAGAGTTAGTGGATAAGAAGTTAGAGCTAATAGAGCCAGCAGTGTTTGAAATAATATAGTTTCTGTGTGCTTATTTTGGGGCTGAGCAGCCGAGAACCAACAACTGGCCTCCTTACAATACCATTGAGGTTCTAGATGAAAGTAAATCAAGCCTCAGGAAGGTCCTGAAGCTACAAGACTCACAACGACCCCTCCTGGGGGTCTATAAGCAGTAACAGTTACAATGGGAGATGAGACTATTAGCTAAGCTGCCTGAAAACTCCAGGATGTAGCTGTCCTGAGTTGTCTTCCATGCTAGGATGACCTTTCCAGTGACGTAGCTGCCTTCAAGGCACCATGTTTCTCTAAATAACCCCCATAAACTCTGATTTAGTTGTTATGCCTAAGTTTCTGGTTCCCGAATGAATTCACAGTCGGATTTCCGATGCAAATTACATGAGGGTTTTTTAAAAATAATATCCATAATATTATTTTAATAATATTCTAAACTTGAGTTTAGACTCCACCTCCACCACATCAACGCAGTAACTGAGGGAAGTGCAGCCCTGAGCCCGGGGAAGGGGAGAACTTTTAAAGGGAAATGCCATAGTTAAGGGGGTTCAAGTTTTATCGTCTTGGGATTGGGTGAGGACTACATAGGATAAGGTAGTTTCTGAAACCATTGGTCAGTTTTTGGGCACAAAAAGCTAACAAAGAGTCATAAATTACCGACAAGGTAACTTCAAGGACAGGATGTCTCCCAAGAACATCTGGACCTCATTAAATTTTATGGTCCTGCTCCCTATCTTAATTGGCCATTTTTAGGGTATCTGTTCAAGTTTCTGTTACAGCAGCACATTTCTGGAGCTGAGATCATCCACCCCCAGCTCATTATATGGCTTAGGTGAAGCCCCTTCTTTAAAATGGAGTTTACAAAGTCAGGTCCTCACCTTAGTAAGCTAGACTTGGGTGCATTCACTTTTTGGTCTACTGTGGGTGCCCTGTCATTTGTTTTAATATGTGCATCAATTCATCTAACCCTTTTGTGGGTATTATTTCTCTGGTTCTACAGAAGAAATGGAAACAGAGGAAGGTACCCCATTTGCGAGGTGGGGGGACTGGATTTAGACTTGTGCTTTGCAGCCAGAAAGGAGTTGCTCCCCAAGTTATTTAGGACTAGAATCCCTGGAAGGTCTTCTACAGACCACAGTCCCTACTCAAGGAGTTTCAGATGCAGAAAAGTCAGAGATAGGATTTGAACCCCTGTACCTCCAAAGGCTTCCGTCTGGTACTGAGGCAGCTGCTCCAGGGACGCCTCTTCCTTGGCTATCACTGGGATAAACCACTCAATTCCTAAGTAGAGTTACAGCTGCCACCATGTGAGACACAGCCTGTTTCCCACACATAGAATCTTAAGTTTTCAAACACTGTCTGTAAACAGAGACTGCTCCTTTGTTTCCGGGCCGCCCTGACCCAAATAATCACATAAAACTCTGGCCTTCATAAGTGTGCTATAGGAATGCATGCACCTGTACTCACACAGTGACGGCAAAAATAAAAACTAACAGGAAATCTGCCTGCAGTAAAGTCTGCTAGGAAAGGCTCCACACAGCCTCCCACGGCACTCAGAAGTTGCTAACCAGATATAGAGACGGCACCCACAATTAAAACAGCAGTGACGGTGCCTGTCATCACTTCCAGTATTGAAAAGCATAAAGTAATCTGTTGGAAATGTTTTAGGGTGAATCTTCTATCTGCTCATTAATTCATCGATAATATTTACCTATTTAATATTTAACAGGACCACAGTTTGCACTGGCAGAAACAGACACCATCCTAATTGCTGTAATGTCAATCACTGATGGTTTTACCATCCATCCATTCCCGGGGAACTGCAGTCTTTCCTGCCCGTTTAGCAGTTGGTTTTTGCATCATCTCTGTGAAGTAAGATGATCCAGTGAGCCACTGTGGCCAGGATGGACCCTGGAGCACAAGGACCCGAAGGTCGGCTCTGCCCCAAGCAGAACTCACACCCTGGGCCTCTTCCAAATTGTTCTGTGAAACAGCTTTGTCTCTCAGGGACTGTGTGTTCTAGGCTAATATGGCAAAATACTTACCTGTAATTTTACTTCGCACAGAGAGAAAATAACAATAAGGAAGTTAAAAGTGACTATCTGCTTTGGTTCTCTGAGGATTGCAGACAGGATGTCTGCTGCTCGGACCTGGAGTCTTGAGCAGGGGAGCTGGAATTCGTCTCTAAGGACGCTGGAATAGACGACACCTGGAAGACGATATTCCAGTCTGTGAGTGGTGAGGGGACCGTGTGCACTGTGGGGCTGTAATGCTATCATTCATTTTCCTTAGTGTGCTGAGACTCTGGACTGATGGACAGACCTGTGCTTGGCTTCTTACCAGGACCACCCTTCGGCTGGGCTTGTCCTTGCCCACTCGAGCACTACCGGAGCCAAGGTGGCGCCTGACCTCATGCCAGGTGGATGATGACCTCATGCCAGTTGGAAGGTGTCAATCTACAATTGCATTGACCGTGCTATGGCACTGGTCAGATATCAGAAATGCAGTCTGATCAACAGAAGACAGCACCAAAAACAAATGAAGACAAACAAAACAGGAAACCTAAAAAGAGTAATTTAATCCTATGAGGTTTGTCATAGGTGTTCACAACGCCCAAATTTATGCAAATACAATTCACTTTACACATGCAAACTTTACCTTTTCAACATATTGAATATTCATCTCGCTGCTCAGAGAGCCAGCTTCTGCACTGACTGTCACTTAAATATGAAAAGCCAGTGAAGCCACTATTTGGTGCAGTCTATAAGTTACCTGTTGTGGAGGAGGCTGCCCCAGTTCTAAGTGTGTAGCAGGTTTATGTCGAGCAATTAAGCAGTTTGTAACACGCTGCTTACAAACCCCATTTAAATGCTTGGCCTCCTGAAAGAGCCAGAGCTCATGCTAGCAGTGTGACCCATGGTTGGGAAGCCACCGTTTCAAAGCCACGCATCTTTTATTGCACCTCTTTTAAAGTAGCCCGCCCCTGCTCGCCATGGGCCCATCTAGAAAAAAAAATTGTGGCTACCAAAAGCCATGCTTAACTCTGTTCTTTTGTGTCTAGAATTCCTTTTAAAGCTTTCTTAAAAAAAAAAAAAAAAAAAAAGCTTTCTCAGAGCCTGGCGGTGGTGGCGCACGCCTTTAATCCCAGCACTCGGGAGGCAGAGGCAGGCAGATCTCTGTGAGTTCGAGGCCAGCTTGGTCTACAAGAGCTAGTTCCAGGACAGGAACCAAAAAGCTATGGAGAAACCCTGTCTCGAAAATAAAAAAAAAAAAAGCTTTCTCAGGTTTTATGTGGATGTAGTTACCCATGTTGACAGTGTCAACTTGTTGTGGAGGAGGCTGCTTGTTTTCTTCCTGGCTGCTTAGCCCCGAAATAATCACACAGAAACTGTGAAACTGTGTTAATTAAATCACCACTTGGCCCATTGGCTCTAGCTTCTTAATGGCTAATGCTTACTTATTAATTTAACCCATTTCTATTTATCTGTGTATTGCTACATGTCTGTGGCTTACCAGGTAAAGTTTCGGTGTCTGTCTCCGGTTGGGGTACATGGCTTCTCTCTGACTCCACTTCTCTCTCCTAGCATTCAGTTTAGTTTTCCCCTGCCTAGCTCTGTTCCCCTACAGCTCTGTTATAGGCCGAAAGCAGTTCCTTTATTTACCAGTGGTAATCATAGCATACAGAGGGGAATCCCACATCAGTTACCTAGGGATTGTAGAGAAGCACCAGTTTGGAGAGCCTAACCTTGTGGCTTTGATCCAATTAAGCATCCAGTGTGGTTTATTAGAGATAATAGAAGCAAGAAAGAGAGCAGACAGAACTAATGTCCCAGCATTTGCAAGGCTGAGGTTGGAGGACAGTGATGACTGTAGCCAGCCTGGAATACACAGTGAGTCTGCGTTGAAGAAATAAAGTACCAATGAAATAAAAGCCTGTGGAGGCCCCAAAATGTGAGCCTATTTTCACCTTGTCTGAAGGCCAGAGAGTTTCAGCTTGTTCAAAATCGTGGCTACACATCCTGACCTATGTTGTGGTTATTTGGTCTCTTGATGTTAGCTGACCCATACAGGTAGATCAATGGCTGGGAAAATCAAGCATACTTGCTCTGCTCCTTCTTTTGAGATGGGGGTTTGACCTTGGGAATGGCTGCCTTCAGGATACTTGGTCTAGGGTGGGTTCACTGCCTAAACAACAGAATGCTAATGACTTGACGTCTCAAGGTATTGAAGCAAGTAACTGTGCTGGTTGTCTTTGGTATCATGTTAAAGTAATCCTTTGTCTTCTTCCCCCTGTGGTATGAAATTGTGTGGAAAATTAAATGCGGGGATTTCAGTATTCGTTGGAACTCCCTCCCAATACTATCTTATGTTTCTGTTTTATTATTTTCACTCATGTCTTTGTTTGCTTTATATTTTTCTAATACTCATGCCCCTATCCTGGTAAGTGTTGAAGCATGGTCCCAGAGAAAGCCTAAAAATGGAAATGACAGTTTTCACGTCATCTGTAATTCATCTTGCTTAGAACAAACTTGAATTCCTGATTTGTGCGCCATAAAGTTTGAGAAGTCAGTAAGATCACAGCTGAAATAAAAAAAAAACTGTACAGAACCTAAATTGCAATTCAGATTTATAGTAAACATTTTCATAAGAACATACACACTATTGGGGAAAAGGTGTCTAAAAGTAGGTCATACAAATTTTTCTAGGGAAGATCAGGAAATAAAAAAAACAGAGCAAAATATCTATGCAAAAATATTCATGAGCAATATGACTTCAAGGTGAGGACGGGAAGATCTAGGATGGTGTGAGGAAAGGAAATACGTGAGCTTCATCTCACAGAAGAGGCGTTTGCAAGCTCTTACACATGCTTTGGCTTTTGAGAGGAAGAAGATTTATTCACAAACAAATCAAAAATTAACTACTGTTTACCTAAAAACATTTTAAGAGATTGCTAAAAAAAATTAAGCTAAGAGTGTCTTTAAAAGATACAGGAAAAAGCCGGGCGATGGTGGCACATACCTTTAATTACAGCATGTAGGAGACAGAGGCAGGTAGATCTTCATGAGTTCGAGGCCAGCCTGGCCTACAAGAGTTAGTTCCAGGACAGCTAGGACTGTTACATAGAGAAACCCTGTCTCAAAAACAAACAAACAAAATACAGGAAAGAGAAGAGGCAGATGGAGGAGCATGGTGGAGGGTGACCCATCAGCATGAGGAGCATGGTGGAGGGTGTCCCATCAGTGTAGGGAGGATGGTGAGGAGAGTGTCCCATCAGTGTGGGGAGCATGGTGAAGGGTGTCCCATCAGTGTGAGGAGCTTGGTGGAGAGGGTGACATCATCATAGAAGATCATGGTGAGTTGGGGATCCACCATCATGGAGGAACACAGTGATTGGAAAGATCCACCAGCATGAAGGAAGGAGCATGGTGTGGGGAGGACAGCCATTATTTCTGTGTGTCTTTTGTATGCACGTTATTCTTCTATCCTCCATTGAAGCCAATCCTTACACTATTCTTATACACTAATTACCTTTAACTTCCAAATACCTTCCCACTGGCCCCTCCCCCTGTACTCCAATGTATGGATTCTAGAAGGACAAAATTCAGCCCCTGCAGCTAATTCATCTCCACAGCAGTGGCAGCATTTCAAACTCCCACCAGAACGCCAACTTCTCTACATCTTGTCAGTTGTTATTGGTGTTTTGAGTCACCATCTAATGGGTGGGAGATGTGACTATGCCCCTCCCTGTGAAGCCTGGGAAATGTGGCTAGGGTCACCCGTGTGCATGTTGCTTTTCTCAGTACTGTCAGTATGCCAGCTGGTGCAAATGGGAGGTGGGAAACAAAAACCCCGACCTTGGATTCAAGAAGAGGGAAAAACCTGAGTGACAGACCAGAGCAGGCTGGTTTTCACTCTTATCGGGATGGATGGCAGCCCCTCCCCAGGTCATCTGCTAAGCTGGGTGGACTGGACTGTGCCCCTTCTGCTAAGAATCATTTGAAAGGTGTAGAGCTTCCCAATGCCTGGGGCTCACTTGCAGCCTCCCCTCCAGCTGTCTTACAGGCACTGTGCACCATTGCAGTTGTTATCCTGTAGAGAATCTTGCTTGTGGAGAAACAGACCCAAGGATGGGGAATTTACCTGTTTACTTTGATCCTACTACCTGGGTCCTGGATCCAGACAAAATAACTGCAAAACTGAAAGTCAACAGAACACAGTAGGGTCCCTTTGAAAAGGCCCATGCATTCTTGAAAGGACGTGGTTTTCTGTGAAACCTGGTTCTGCACAACAACATCTCAAACTGAAGGGTATCACAGATTCCTTCTAGATGTTTTAAGTTTGTAGCTCGGGATATTTTCTGCACTACCGTGCTTCACCCAGCAGGTCCCACAGAGGACGGCATGCTTCCTTCATTAGTCCAGTAAATGCAGATGAGCATCATGTAGGGAAACGAGTCAGTAGGTCAGCTGCTGTATATAGGCAAAATACCAGCGGACAAACAAGCTGAGCATGGCAGAGCCTATAGTTCCAGCACTCAGGAGTCTGACGCAGGAGGATTGCTGTGAGTTTGAAGTGAGTCTATGCTATTCAGAAAGACACTCTGTGTGTGTGTGTGTGTGTGTGTGTGTGTGTGTGTGTGTGTGTGGTGTGTACACATGCTTAAGAGACAGCTTAGCTGGTAAAAGTACTTGCCTTGCAAACATGAGGACCCTAGTATAATTTCTAGAACCCATGTGAAAAATGCCAGGCATGATGCCATGTGTTTGTAATCCCAGGGCTGGGGAGGCAGAGGCAGTAAGATCCCTGGAGGCTCAGCAGCCTGCCAGTCTAGAGTCACTGGTGAGATCCTGGCCAGTGAGAGAGCCTGTCCCAAAGAAGGTGGCAATGCTCCTGAGGATGACACTGAGGTTGTCCTCTGCGCTCCACACACGCTTGTGCACCTGTATGTATGTACATACATGCGTATGTATGTACAGGTGCACAAGCATGTAATGAAGAGAGGGAGGGAGGGGAGGAGGGGAGGAGCGCTGAAAGGAAGGGAAGAATGTTAAACTAAGGGGCTCACAGGCAAGCTAGCAAGCATAAGAGGCAGAAAAACCCAAGACAAGCAGGAGTCAGTGGGAGAGAGGGTGCAGCATCTCCTGCTGTTCGGGACTCCTTGATTAGCTACACGCACACCCGTCCTGAAAGTGGACCACAAGGACTTAGTTCTTACATTCAGAGGGACACTTGGTACGCTAGTCCTCACCTTCTATTCTGTTTTAAGATGGGATAGTCACTGCTTCTTATTCCTAGCTTAACTTGCAAAGCAGTTAGGTACAAGGAGGAAAGAAAGGTCACTTTTAGGCAGAGCTTCCAGGAGATACTTGAGCAGATAGGGGTTGTGAGATGGGGGGGGGGGCATACTTGGTGGAGGGTCCTAAACCACCAGCAGCAGTGCTGCAGGAAGGGGAAGGGAACAGGGGCCAGCCAAGGGTAGACACAGAGGCGCAGAAGGCTGGCCAGGTCTGAGGTCCTATCACTAAGGAGATGGATCCTTGCTATTGTAATTTAAAGCCATTGCGTACTCAGCATTTACATTTGCTGTGGGTAAAGCTTGGGATGGCTGAGCCAAATCTCTTTTTGAAGTTCCAGCTGGAGAAGTCTCAATACACACATGCAGACTTTTAAAGGCAAAATAAACTTTTAAATGCAAATTGCAGCTATCAACTTAAAATAGTTGGTGGGAAGTTTGGGTGAATCAAAGGGCTGCCTGTGCACCAGAGAGGAGAGCTGGGGAGGGGCTCCTGTTGCTATATTTACACAGACCCGCCCCTCTTCCTCAAGTGGCTGGCACTAAGAAATGAGCAAGGCAAGAATTCCAGATATGCTTGGCCTTTCAGATCTATAAATGGATGTTGGCTATTTATATGTGGCCTACTTACAAACACCCTTTATGGAGTGCCTACCTGGGGCAGTCGGCACAATCGGATAGGCCAGATCTTCACAGCTCCTGCCGGGAAAGGAAATGTCCTAATGCTGAGAGGATGGCCCAGTGGGTAGAGCACCTGCTACACAAAGCCTGATGCCCTCGGTTCGACTTCTCAGAACACGCAGAGGTCAGATCTGGGCTGCCTGGACCCTGCCCTACAACAAAAGATAGATCATTCCTCTTAAAATCAAAAACTGAAAGGATATCATCACATTTGCATTCTCTCTGCCATTTTTGTCTTCATCCTAAAGCAATTATAAAGCAAGTCCCAAGCAGAGTGTAGTGGTGGTGATGACTGTAATCCCATTTGGGAGGTGGAGACAGGAGGATGAAAATTTAAGGCCATTGCTTGGGGCCTGGCCTGGGCTTCCTGAGACCCTGTCTCAAGAAAAAATTCAGGCTGTCATTTTCTCCCAACCAACTTCTTCCTTTTTTGTCTTTTATGTCTGAGAATGTCTTCTTAGATAACCTTCACGGCACTTACACGCTTAACCTTAATAATTCTTTCACATCGTCATCCGATACTAGTTTCTTACCAAACTCTCTCATTGCTGCAAACGTCTTTTTGCTTATCTGGGTTGTTCAAGCCAAAGGACAAGGAAGGTGTCAGGCTACACTTCACAGCTGTATCTCTTATTAACACCAAGCCTGGGGCATTCTCCTGTACACCTGCCCTTCGCTATGCTTTTGAATTTCTGTTTGACAGGGATCAAGCTAGGTGTGATGGCAGATGCTGAGATCCTAGTCCTGGAGGCTGAGATGGGTGGATCACAAGTCGAACCTGGGAGGCGAAGGAGACCCTGCTGTCTCAAAGACAAACATCAGGTTGATTTTCTTGTAGGATAAACCATGCCCTGCATTTGTCTTTTTGCTTCCTCTGAGGGGTTTTTAAATGGTCTCTTTGTGTCCCAAGCCATCTTTTTGAGACGGGTGTTGTTCGTTTCCTACATGTATCCACCTTCCTAAAGATGGGAAGAACACTACTGCAGCCTAAGCACCTGTTGCCATGTGAACACAATTATTCCATTATCCTCTCCAGGTCGGCTTCCTTAGTGTTCTCCTGAATCAACCAGCAATTGACGGGGCTGTCAAAGAATCTGGTAAGGACCTGCATCTCCTGGACACCGGTGCTTCACAGTTGATGGTCACCTGCATCCTCCTTTCCACGTCACCTTGAGAATGCAATGGAGGGAGCAAGGACTGTGTGATTGCATGGATAGTTTTCTACTCTATCCAGGATACCATTCTGCTCCTCAAAAACTTCTCCCAGCAATACGGTCACTGACAATGAGCCAGTGGCCTGAGGGTGATAAGCACAGGGTGTAGCAGGCTTTTTTCGTTTTGGGTCACCAACCAGCTCCCATATCATGACATGGAGACTTATTATTGGTTACGAATGGTTGGCCTAGCTTAAGCTAATTTCTGGCTAGCTCTTTTAACCTAAATTAACTTCTCTTTATCTACCTTTTGCTTTCTGGATTTTTACTTTTCTTTCCTTCTGTATATCTTACTTTCTCTGTTTCTTGTGTCTGTCTGTCTGATGGTTCCCTGGCTTCTTGCCCTGGACATGTCCCTATCTTTCTCCCTCTTTCTATTCTCCTTCTTCCTTCTTGTTTTTTCCTCTCCTATTTATTCTCTCTGCCTGACAGCCCTGCCTATCCTTCTCCTATTAACTGTCCAGCTTTTTATTAGACAAATCAGGTGCCTTAGACAGGCAAGGTGAAACAAATGGGACACATCTTACGTAATCAAACACACGTCCTTCCATCATTAAGCAAATGCAGCATAAACAAATGTTACAATCTTTATATAGTTAAAATAACATTCCACAACACAAGGAATGTCTGCCTCAGAATCACCCACAACACGAGTGACCCACAACGTGTGGGCTTTGCCTTAGTAAATAGGAAGGGAGACTCGGAATCTGCATATTATGTGAGACACAGGTTGGCAATCTGCGAAACAGCCTGGAAGCTGTGGCGCTTGGGAACTTGGACCTGAATGGCAAACATATCACAAACTAAGCTGCCCTGACTTCCTTGGTGTGCAGCCTGTACACTATAGGATTCCAGTGGCCAAGGTCTCTTTCACTGACTGCTCCTCCCCGTCATACACATACATATACATACCATTTGCCTACTGATGGAACCAATAGCTTCCTCCCCTCTCACGGTGGCGGTATTGAGGACTGCACGCAGGACTTGGGTCTGTGAAGCAAGCACTCTACTGCGGAGCTGATCCCCAGCCCAGACCCTGTACTTTTCAATGCCTTAAGTTATTTCATGATGCCTCTCCCTGCCCCCTTGTCAGTTCCCTGTATTATACAGTCAGCTCTGCAGTTTGTGGGTTCCCATCTGTCTTAGTTTGGGTGTTTATTGCTGTGAAGAGGCACTATGACCACAGCAACTCTTACAACGAAAACATTTAATTAATTGAGGGGGTGCTCGCTTACAGTTTCAGAGGTTCAGTCCATTATGATCGTGAAGGGGAGCGTGGCTGCATGCAGGCAGACCTGGTGCTGGAGCTGAGTGCTCTATCTTGCAAGCAACAGGAAGTCGACCGACAGCCACACTGAGGGAAGTTTGAGAAAAAGATTTCAAAGTCCACCCCCATAGTGACACATTTCCTCCAACAAGGCCATACTGCCTAATAGTGTCACTCTCTTTGGGGGCCGTTTTCTTTCAAGAGCATTCTGGATAGACTAATATGCCAGACTCTTTCTGAAGACAAACCAGGGCGGTCAGAAGTCAGGATGGGAGATGAGGACTTTGGTCAGGGTTAGGGTGTGATGTTCCAGATACATTCAGAGTCTTTCTGCGCCTGGGCGATGCAAGGTTGTCAGGGTGGGGGCCGAGGTCAAACTTTCTGAGAAGAAGGCTTCAAGGAAGAAGTTTAGTGAGGGCAGTGTGGCCTGATAGTAATCACTGTGTGGCAGGACCAAGAAGAGACAAAGGAGACAGTGATAGAGAACATCGCACCGTCTCTGATAGGTCAGTGTTTTCTTTGCGTGCACTGCAACCACAAAGAAGGCTGCCTTGGACACTGGTCAGCGGGCTCTGAGACTTGGAATGGGCAGAATGGTCCATTTATTCCCAGTATATGATCCATAATGATGTGGATCTGCAGTGATACAATATAAAATTTAAAAAAAAAAAACTGTTTTGCCACATCTAATCTCTTAGCGTCTTCCAGTTGCCCCAGCTAAAGTCTGAGGCAAAGGAGCTCAAAGGCGCATCCCAGGAGCAGCCAATCAAATCTCGCGAGAGAGCAATCGTCCACGGGACTCTCGCTCTGGCTTCCGGCTGGCAGGTGGGCTGGTGGCGTCGCCCAGGGCAACGGCGATGGCGGCCACAGCGGCCGGGCGGCTGTTCTCGCTGGAGCTGCTGGTGGACTGGGTGCGGCTGGAGTTCGGGCTGGCGCCGTGCGCCGGGGATCCCGCTGTGGCGTTTCGCCTGCTGGACTTCCCGCCGCTGCTCGTCCTCCCTCCTGCCGCTTCAGCCCGGGAGCCCCGGAGCGGCACCATCGACTTCGGACGCGGCAAGGCCTGCCTATTACGCCTGCGCCCTGCCGCCCTGCGTCGCCCGCGCCTGCGCGCAGCGGTGCTGCAGCTACCCGAGGGTCCAGCGTCTGCACCGTGCATGCTGGGTGCTTGCGACATCCTGCTCGTCGCCTCCCAGGGCCGACGCGGTAAATACACCCTGCGCGGTCCGGCGGCCGAGCGCGTCGGGGAATTGGCGCTCTTCTACCGCCTAACTGACCTGGGACGCTTTCCCCCGGGGGTTCCGGAGCTGCAGGGCCCTCTGAACCCTGAGAGTATCACCTCCGAGGCCATGGAGCTGTGGGAGCCACCTACCCAGGAGACCTCGAAGCCATGCGCCAGAGAAGCCACTGTCAGATGCCGACAGTGTGCCTCAGTTGTACGCCGCTTGGAGGCCTCAGAGCCATGCCCCAAGGATACCAATAGCTGGTCTGCAGGGGACTCAGACCCCTCAGCTGTCCAGAAGACCTGGGAAGAAGCAGTCTTACACAGCAAGGCCAGCTCTGGGGACATGGCTTCTGCCCCTTGTTCACCGGCTCCCAGTGGGAGGACTGCCAGCCCCCTCAGCCCGGAGGTCACCGAGCTGGACTTTGAAACCAACACCTTTTGCCCTCCTCCTCTGTATTACACTCACCTGATTCAGGAAAAGACACCCCCTGCCAGGGTTGAAATCACTATTGAGCCTCAGAGAAACGGACCTGAGGAGCCGGATGGCATTTACCCCGAAACTAAACCTGTAGTTCCTCCCGTACACCCGGTGAAACATACAAGATCTGCAATGGAGGAGAGCCCTCCAGTGCTTCTCAATCCTCCCCAGACGCAGGGTCCAGGTGCAGTGGATGAGGTTGCATGTCCCCAGACTGAACAGAATACAGCCAATGCAATAAGACAGCTGCCGCTCTTGAACGCTTTGCTGATTGAGCTGTCCTTGCTGTGCAACCAGCCCGTGGCAAGTCCCGCTCAGGTTCACCCCCACTTGGCCTGGTTGTACAGAGGTGAACACAAGGGGCCAGAGCCTTCTGCCAAGTCCACATCTCGGTCAGAATTAAAGAGCAGCAAACTTTCTGTGAGAGAAAGTGAAAAGCTCCTGAGTCTTCAGCCTAAAAAGAACCCTAAAGGTAAGCGTTCAGAGATCAGTGGGAGCCCTCCCCCGAGAGCCGCGAAGGGGAGGCTGCTCTATGGCTTAACGAACACCCTAAGACTGCGTCTAAAGCAGACAAACCCCGACATGCTGGTTGTCCATGAAAAGAGAGAACAGTATAGAAAATCACAAATACAAACTGGGGGACCAAAATTCCGGGTCCCATCGTGGAAAGGGAAAGTACCAAGCTTGGCAACACAAAGCCAGATGCCACCACAGCCGCCCGAGAAGCCTTCCGACTCCAGTGGGTCTTTTGCTGAAGGTAGTGATACTTCAAGGCAAATCAGTGAATGCTTTGATGAGCCAAGTACAAATACATCTAAAGCAGTGAAACGGCGCCAGGCTGCTAGACAAGAAACAGGGGGGCAGAGTGAGAACAGAGCCAGCGACACTTGGTTGGAAGCAGGTGTGGGTCCCATAGAGTCCATCATCCCAGCGAGAGTCCCTCCTTCACATATCCTGGAAGGAGCATCCAAAATGCTGGTCCAAAGCCCAGGGCTTTCCCGACAGGATCCTGCAGTTGACCAAACTGTGGAGGAGGGGAAAGATGATAGCCACGTCAAAGTCACGGACCTTGTGACTTCTGATGCAGGGATCAACAGAGCAGCCAGTAGAGACAGTTCCTGCAAGAGCATCTCAGAGCTAGAGTACCAGGAAGAGCTAGCCAGCCCTTGCTATTCTGAAGACTTCTGCGTGACTGAGAATAACAGCAGAAGTCTGCTGGCTCCTGGCTCCAGCACAGGGGCAGAAAATGCCCAGCACGGTTCACAAGCAAGCAAGTCCAGCGAGGCAGGGCTGTTTACAAGGAAAACCAGCAGCGAGCTGAGCGTGCTCAGCCCTCCCTTCTCTGCTGGCTCCCCAGTGTGCTCCCATAAGCGATCTCACGTACTGAAGACTCCCTGTAGGAGTCTGGAGGAAGCCTCCAGTAGCTCCACCAGCGACTTCTCATCACAGTGGACAAATGAAAAGGAGAACCAGGCAGATGCTCTGAGTACAGGTAGTTCAAAGGTCATGAGGACAGGTCGGGACAGCTCCACTAAACTTAGAGGAGGAGCTGGTCGCAGGTCCTCTGAGAAAAGCCAGTCACCAAGGACATCACAAGTGAGTTCTTATGAACCGTCCAATCTGTCTGAGCTGGAACTCAAGGGCTTTGACAACAGCGAGTCAGCTGACTTCCAAGAGGAGGAAGATGATCTTGGGCCACTGAACTTCTCCAAACAGTGCAGAGACATCTGTGAATTAGTAATAAATAAACTTCCAGGATACACCGTGTGAAGTTTGCTGCTTTTGAAAGCTAGTTTCTAACTGATAAGCGCTGATCATGAAGAAACGTTCTAACTCCTACACGACGTTAGGGCGTAACGTCCGTGGTGGTAGGTCTTTAGGAGATGTATATAGTTTGTCATTGATGTTTAGTGCCTTACCCTTCAAGCCGATCCTACTCTTGAGTCACTGTTAAGCTTAGAATGATTCTTTTGTGAGATGTTCAAGATTAAAAGTATGTCTATATATTCTGTGGAAGTGTCGGCCTCACAGTGCAGATTAATCTAAAGTCGGCGTTCTAGGCACCATTTTAGAAAGAAGCACTCGTGTGTGATCTCAGCACCGGTTCTTAATGGGAATAAATCTGGTAACAGATGGATGTGTTAGGGTGTGAGGTGCAGAGGGGGATTGTGATCGTCTGCTGCGAGGCGTTTTTGGCTTATAGATCTTCGTGACACCCTGTCCTCTTATTGTTTAGTCTTCCTTTTGTATGAATATACTCCATTTGCACTGATTTGAACTTAGGTTTCTTGATAAATCCTGTCTTACTGTACACACCAATATTACCTTTTTTTTATTTATGTAGTTGCTGAATAAAAGCCTTGGCAGTTAAAATCTTACTAAAGGATGTAGCACAAACACTTAACAAGAAGCATGGACTCTCCCTAATGGAAACGTATTTGGGTAATATTTTAATTTCACTGAGTTTAAACAGCCTTCAAGTATACTCAAGCATTTAGGAGAACAAAGTCAGGCTTCATCCCATATAGTTGTGTGAACAGGAGTTTAGTTTATGCCGTGTTTTCTGGTTGCTCAGTGTTCATTTGTAACATGGAAAAGCTGACTACCATAAACCCTCGTCATCAGTTCTGCGGGATGTCCTTCATTGATTTCAGATTTCACGCTGTGTTCAGATACTTGTAGGCATTGTAGTATAATACATGTAAACTGTTATACTGTAACTTTTAGACTTTTTAATATCGCTGATGCTTTGGGACCTGTGAGACAAAGCCCTGGTTTTTCTTTTATTACATAAATTATTATAAACAATTACACAGTTATATGAGCATATTCGGAGCGATTGATCCTAGAAAGGATTTACAGTGATGATGATTAGGGGCCATTGTGGATACTTGAGTGGAGACGGGCGTGAGCTTGGCATTCCTGGGAGAGAGAATGGCATCTGGATGGTGATGTTATGTTCATGTCACAGTGGCATAAAGTCAGTTTGCTGCACAAGGAAAGTTTCAGATTGTAGAGAGACTCAGACTCCAAGTACACTGTCCAGCAATGGGAGGTGGGACCAGGACAGCCATGGGAGATGGGGCTAGGACAGGGATTGTTGTGAGTGAGCATGAGTAAGTCATGGCCTTGGAGTGTTGTAAAATACCGGAAATAATTACTCAGAGCTACAGAAGTTAAGTCTGGAAATGGAAAAGGATTTTATGCTACAGACTGATTTCTCCTTGTCTGTAAATATAAAATCTATGCTGTATTTTAAATCCATAAGACATAGCTTGGTACTCAGACACGAACTGTGCAAATGTTTAATGTCATTTTTCCCATGGAAAAGGCAACATATAAGTACTAAAAGAATCATCAAAGATAGTGTAGTGGTTTGAATGAGAAACATCTCCCCTAAGTTGTATTTGACACTTGGTCCTTGGTCTGTGGCATTATTTGGGGAGGTTGTGGAACCTTTTGGAGGTGGAGCCTTGTGGAAGGAAGTACATCACAGCATGGAATGCTTTGCAGATGTTTAGCTCTGTTCCACCTCTTGTTCTCTCTCTCTCCTGCCCCGGGGGGAAAATGTGACTGGTTAGCTTCCTGCTCCCACAGCTCTGCTTTCCCTGCCTCTGGGATGGGAACAGGTGAGGGAGGTGATGCCCCAGGGTGAAAGGAGAAGGTTTAAGAGCTGAGACAGTGGGGCAGGGCCAGACCAGGGAGCCTGTCTCTAAAATTGTGTGGCTCATAGGGCTGTTCTAAGGAAGATGCTGTGACCATGTATTTAAATCACCTGCTACAGTCTGGCCTCCAATATGGCCTTGTGTTTTAATTCTTTAAGTTGTTGGCTTAGTTTTTAAATACCTTCGTACTTGGTATTACTTATGAAGCCTGATTTTATTTTATATGGTTAAAATTACTGAAACATGAGATCTGGTTTTAGGGTCATGAATAGCAGGCTCTGTCATTTCACATTAGAACTGGTCTGTTGCAGCTCAACTTTTCAAACAGGCTGGATAGCAAAACTGATCGAGGCAACAGGGGTACAGCAGTACTGAGCATGGTACCCAGTGCCTTGGACATGCCCTGCAAGTGCTCTGTCACTGAGCTGCACACGCAGCCCCAGCCCTTGGGACAGAGAAGCAAAGTGAGCCACAAAAACAGTGCTGGTCCTGCCTCTGTATGCAGCTGAGGAGGTGGCTGTCTGTTCAGTCCTTTGAACCGTTGCTGTAGATACAGAGGCCTGGACAGAGACACACCATGTGTCTACCCCTCGTTCACATGCCCATTGGTGGTGACTTCGCCGGGTAGGAGGAGCATCTGTCATGAACTTCTGTGGCGCCCAGTAGCTCCCGATTGAGAGTCGCCCTTCACGTCCTGGTTTGTGTTTTTTCTTCATGTACAGAGTGCATTGTTACAGAATTAGATTTAGGGACTAGACTTTTGTTTGCAACAAACGAACAGGTCAAGACTGGAAATTGAAAATGACTTTTTAATTATGACATTTTTGTTGGCAAGGTGAAGAGATGTCATAGCAAAGCAAAATAAATAAGATACAGTATTTAAATATGTTGAGTTAAACTGTCCTTGGTGCCAAAGAGCAATCGCTCAGGCTGTTCGTGTTTTCATTTGCGTTAAAGCACACAGAGCTATGCAGAATGGCACTTTGTGAGCCAAGACTTGTGAGATGGTTCTCATTTCAACCCCAGAGCAGTTCTGTGAGAAGTTGCTTGGTCAAGGACCAACATTCTCTCTGCCTGACTTTCCCCCTGCCTGTGCCCGGCACAAACACCTTGGGAGGATTGCCATTGGGCAGCAGTGCCAAGCCTTAAGGAGCCCTGCTTCCTTGTTCTTTAATCGGTACTTATATCTATCAATGCATATCCAATGTAGAGAAAAAAAGGCCCAGAAAACTCAAGAGTTTTGCTCTCATTGTAGAGAAAAGGGGATATGTCTTCAAATTCCATTGAACTAGCAGAAGTATGAAATTAAGAATTAACCCAGAAAATTAGTGAAAATACCAGGGGCAGGAGTAGCCGCTCGGTGGTAAAATGTCTGCCTCGTGTCTGCAGGGAGATCAGTTTGGTCCTGAGCCCTGAAACAAAAATAATAGGAACAGCGTTTTAAAAATAGAAAATAAAGAGTTTCCGAAAATGAGGATGGCTGCTCCCTGCTTCTGTCGCGTCTTTAATGCTGGACTCCAGCAAAGACAGTTATCAGGCTCCTTTCTGTATGTCCTGACCTAATCATATGCCTTTTCTTTAGTCTGTTAGGCTGTTGACTGAAGTAGGGGACTTTCTGATGGTGACCACCATCTACATTCCTGTCTTGATTGTCCTGTCTTGTACTATCTTTAGGTTGTAGAACTTTCTCCTGGTTCCCCACCTTCTCATGTGTGTGTGTGTGTGTGTGTGTGCGCGCGCGCGCACGCGCGCACAATGTAGCACTGCAGCAATGCATAGAGTTCAGAGGAAAACTTGAGGTGTGGGCCCTCAGCTTGTTGGAGGCGAGGTCTCTTTTGCTCCAGGCTAAGCTGGCCAGGAAGCTTCCAGGAGTTTTCCTGTTTCCCTCCTTTCTTGCTGTAGGTGTGCCGAGTGTACAGGCAGACTCCGTCCTGGCTCCAAACTCAGGCACTCCACTCGCATGGCCAGCGCTGTCACGGATCGTCTGTCTCCACAGCCCTCCTCCCGAATCTGTCCTCTCCACAGTCCCTCATCTCTGCCAAGGGCTCCGGCCTCTTCTGTGTGGCTCTGATGCTCTGTAATAGAATTGCTTTGAGTGTCTGTAGATCTGGTTTTATCTGGCTGGAGATGCCGAGTGGATCCGTGCTTCCAATATTTTAAAGTTGAGAGCCTTTCATGTTGTAGTCTGCATAGAATGAGGAAAGCTTAAAGCTTTAAAATAAAACATTTAAAAGCAAAAAGGTTGTTGAGGTTTGGTATTAGCCACTCTGCTCCAGGGCTTAGAGCCACCTCTGTATCTGTCTTCCTCCGCTCCACATCTCAGGTATCGGGTGGGAGGGTTCACTCGCCCACCCACCTTCCCTCCTGCTCTCTCCCGAACTGTCCTGACCGTGCACTCCCCTGGCTTCTCTCCCAGGGAAGCCCTCAGACCCTGACTTCTGGCCTCCGTTGTTTTCGCTCTGCAGCAAACACTCCACTCCAGTTCTCTCTCCTGCTCTTGCACACGACACGAGTCTAGACTGCCCAGTCATCCCACCCCCTGAGAGCGACAGAGAAACCAGTGACTGCCTTCCCCAACATTTCAGTCTATTCCATCAGTGTCCCAAGATTAATGGATATAAAACGTGTTCCCGCTCCACCAAGCAACTCCTTGTCATTCTCTCCATACCTTAATGTTCATTCTTTTTCTTGTCCCACCCTGCTTTGTGCCTGGGCGTTGCCTTTAGTACACACAGTTGCACTCAATAAATGCTCACTTAAATGCATGAGTACTTAAATATGCACAAAATCAAATGGTGCTTCCTTAAAAGGGTTACAGCAAATGGAATCTAAGTGGAGGAAGCAATTGTAGAACGTGTACACAGACACACACACACACACACACACACACCCCTACCTATCTCCCCCTGCCCCCCACCTGTCTCTTCCCCATGGGAGTGACCAGCATTTATGCTCCGGGTTTGCTGAGGATCCAGAAAACCACTTTGCTGCCGAGAAAAAATTCAATTACACAGTGGAGATGAAAGTTTCAGCACTTGGGAATAATCACAAAGATGGTTTCCATTATATGTGTTCAAGAAGAAAAGGGAAGAGGAAAAACAAAGGCATGAAAACCCAACGGAAAAGCCTTTCAAATGCTAATCAAATTATTACCTTTATTTCCGTCCCAGGAAAACTATTTCGAAACCTCAGATCCCCGAGACTGAGTTCCCAAAACCAATGGGGCTGAGTGATGTGGTTAAAAGTCAAGAATTCTGGGACTGTAGAGATGGCTCAGCAGCTAAGAACACCGGCTGCTGCTGCAGAGCCGTGGAGTTTGATTCCCAGCACCCTCTGGGGAAGACTCATAACCACCTGCAACTCCAGGTCCAAGGAATCTGACCCAACTCTCTGGCTTCCCTGGATACTTGTGCTTGTACATACACACACACACACACACACACACACACACACACACACACACACACAACTTTAAAAAAAGCTACAAGAATTCCAAAAGTGTGGGTTGAAGAGGAAAACGTTAAAAGATCCTGTTTTAGAACCATATTTGAAGGAAGGGGGAGTGTCCTACTAATCATACACACTGTGATGTTTCCTCCCAGGTGAATGTGATTGCCAGGTGCTGTGAGTTCTGAGTCCTGCAATCATTTTGTCTCTGGTTTATTTCTTTTCTTTTTTTTTTTTTTTTTTTATTCTTTTTGGTTTTTCGAGACAGGGTTTCTCTGTGGCTTTGGAGCCTGTCCTGGAACTAGCTCTGTAGACCAGGCTGGTCTCGAACTCACAGAGATCCGCCTGCCTCTGCCTCCCGAGTGCTGGGATTAAAGGCGTGTGCCACCATTGCCTGGCCTCTGGTTTATTTCTTGCTGCTCTGGGAGGGGTGCCCTGGCCAGGGATGTCTTCTAAACATCTTTTTTGATCTTCATTTACTCATCATCTTCTGGAATGAGAGCATCTTTGTGGCTTGTCACCAAGAATCCTTGCGCTCTCCCCAGCTGAAATAGTTCCCCACTATTTTCCTCTGGGGAAGCCCCTCACCTTCTCCCTGAGCATCATGATGCTGTGGGTCTAATCTCTTCCCTGATTTAACAATCGTGTGTTCCCTGGGAATAGTGATTGGATGGGCATGGGATTCCTCTTCAGGAATATTTTAAGATGTTCAGGGGAAGCCCCTCTCTGTCTCAGGGTTCAAGTGATGGAGGACATTGGATGTCACCATGGAAACGCTTGGAAGAGGGAGTTCCCTGAAGATGGGGCCAACACTGGGAGGGAGATGAGAAAATGAGGTTCTGAGTCCAAGGGCTGAGTCTAAGTTTCGCGTCTGAAACATGGTAATTCCTGAGCTCTTCAGTTATGCAAGAAAACCCATGTCTTCATTTCATTTCTGTGATAAAATACCTCAACAAAATCAGCCTTAAGGGAGAGAGGGTACACTCAGGTTAGAACTCCAGGTTACATACGGTCCGTCACTGGAGAAGTCAAGACAGGAACTTGAAGCAGCTGGTCACATCTCATCCATGGTCAAGAGCAGCAAGAGAACGAATGCATGCGTGTCTATCCGTGCTCAGGCCATGCTCTACACTCACACGATCCAGCATCTTCTGCCTAGGGAGCAGTGCTGCCTACAGTGGGCTGCATCTTCTGATGTCATTAACATAACAAAGGTAATAACCTACAGACGTGCTCACAGGCCAACCTGATGTAGACGGTCCCTCACAGGACTCTTTCCAGGCAATTCTAGATTGTGTTTTGTCAACAGTTAGAACTAGACATCATGCAGTTTAATTGTGATGCGCGCCTTTAATGGGAGCACTCCAGAGACAGAAGAAAGCAGATTTCTATGAGTTCTAGGCCAACCTGGTCCACATAGCAAGTTTCAGGCCAGCTGGAGTTACCTAGTGAGCCTTCATCTCATAAAACAAGATCAAACTAGCCATCACAACCCACTTTTAAACAAAGCACTGAGTGTAGGCTCCAGGGAGGTGGTATAGTTGGTAATGTGCCCACTGTCCAAGTATGAAGACCTGAGTTGAATCCCCAGCACTAAGTCATATGAGAAGCTGGGCATGACGATGGGCACCTGTGACCGCAGTGCTGGGGATTCAGAAACAGGAGGATCCCAGGGGCTTGTTGGTCAGTGGGGTTAGCCTTGTCAACGAGCTCCAGGTTCAGTGAGAGACCCTGTCTCAAAAAGGTGGCGGGCAATAAATGATGACACCCTGTATCAGTCTCTGGTCTTCACACCCACAAACACACACAGGCACACACACACACACACACACACACCGCACAGACGAGAGAGAGAGAGAGAGAGAGAGAGAGAGAGAGAGAGAGAGAGAGAGAGAGAGAGATGGAGATGTAGTGGGAGGCTGCTTGTTGGTTCCTGGCTGCTTAGCCCCGAAATAACCACACAGAAACTGTATTAATTAAATTACTGCTTGGCCCATTAGCTCTAGCTTCTTATGGGCTAACTCTTACATATTAATTTAACCCATTTCTATTAATCTATATCACCACATGGTCATGGCCTACCAGCAAAGTTTCAGCATGTCTATCTCCAGCGGCAGCTCCATGGCATCTCTCTGACTCCGCCCTTCTTTCTCCCAGCATTCAGGGGTGGGTGGGGACTCTTTTGGATTTGTAAGTCTCTTAGTTTCAACCAAAATAATTCATTTTGGAGCTCTGATTAATTTTTAACTTCCCCCTTTTATTCGGTGAAAGATCTGAAAGGGTTCTCTTGATTTGAATGAACAGCTGGGGAGAACGCAAGGATTCTCGGTGACTAGCCACAAAAATACAGACAATAGATGATCTCACAGGAGCAAATCCCAAAGAAGGAAAAACACAACACAATAAAATCACCAATAATGAAAACTAAAATAACAGGAACTAGCAATCACTGGTCATTAAGATACCTTAATATAAATGGGCTGAACTCACCTATAAAAAGGCACAGGCTAACAGATTGGATACAAAAACAGAATCCATCCTTCTGCTGCATACAAGAAACACACTTCAACCTCAAAGACAGACATTACCTCAGAGTAAAGGGTTGGGGAAAAAAATCCAATCAAATGGACCTAAGAAACAAGCTGGTGTAGCTATCCTAATATCTAACAAAATAGACTTCAAACCAAAATCAATCAAAAGAGATAAAGAAGGACATTCGTATTTGTCACAGGAAAAATCCATCAAGAGGAAATCTCAATACTGAACATCTATGTGCCAAATACAAGGGCACCCTCATATGTCAAAGAAACACTTCTAAAGCTGGATAAGGAAAATGTGGCACATTTACACAATGGAGTGCTTACTACACAGAGGAAAAAAATAATTACATCTTGAAATTTGCGGGCAAATGGATGGATCTAGCAAACATCATATTGGGTGAGGTAACCCAGACCCAGAAAGACAAATATAATATTTACTCACTCATAAGTGGCTTTTAGACATAAAGCAAAGAAAATCAACTGACAATTCACAATCCCAGAGAACCTGGACAACAGTGAGGACCCTAAGAGAGACATACATGGTCTAATCTACATGGGAAGAAAAAGACAAGATCTCCTGAGTAAATTGGGAGCATGGGGACCATGGGAAAGGAAGGGAAGGGTGCAGAAAAAAATACATAGCTCAATAAAAACAATAAAAAATACTATTATAGAAAAAATACACAGATACACAAAGAAGAAAATCCAGGGAAGGCAACAACTGCCACACTGCAACTTTTGTGCTCCATCACCAGAGCACCTGCCTGAAGGTCACGGCATTTCAGCATCCCGTGGGATGTAAGCCCCGAGGATGAACGGCCGTGTTTGTTTTTGTACACCTCCTGGGTAGGGAATGGTCCTGCTGTGCTGTGTGGTTTCCATTTATTTTCTAACAGATCAGGTGGCATGTTTTCTTATAAGTGAACTATCATTTTTATTTTATGTTTTCTTTTTATTGCTATAAGAATCTATCTGTCCTTAGTGGGAATTCTTGAATCCTCAAGGTTCCAGGCACCCGCAAGATGCCTCTGCCCTGTTGCCAGGGTTCCTGGGGTATCTGCATGGCGCACCCTTGCTTCCACGGCCAGCTGTAGGTCAGGAGGGGCCTGCACCATGTCCCGATGAGCTCCAGCACCAAATTGAAGGGCTAAGCCAGTTCTGGTGGGGACAGGTTGTTCCTGAGAAGGGACTGGCTGTG